ATAAAATGCAAATATAAAGTAGCTAAGGCTATGTACGACAATTTTTTATATGGAATACATATTTCTGTGCCGTTTAATCGATGAGACTTTAAAAGGTTTGACTTTGAATTAAAAAATAACCAGCTTCTCTTGAAAATGTTTATATTTTTTTTAAGTTTCCATTAAAAGGGCTTCTTGAACTATATCTATGGCTAGTTAAACGTTAAAATATTGATTAGGATCCCATGAAATGTTGCTTTAAAGGGAGAAGGGCCTATACCAGCTTAGGCTACTTTAATTGAACGGCACAGATATGCAAATGAAAAAATTAGTTTCGTTATTTATAAGAAAAAATATCAGAAAAAAGTCGTTTGTTTGTTATCAAAAAAAAAAGTATCAAAAAATCTATTTTCGTTGATCATCAAAAAAAATATAACATTGTAGTTCTCAAGAAATATCACGTGAAATATTTTACATTATTTCTGATGCTAGAAAATAACTTTGCGGTTGCTGTAAATTTTCTTGAAGAAATAAGTATATCGTCGCTACCATGTCAAACTATGGAATGCGCAAAACTGATTTTTGATTTACGATACATTGCGCATGCGTTTAGAATGATACGTAAGTTGGCAAATCGTCAAATTTTTCTTGAGAGCCTTTACAAATAAAAAAATTTCGGAATATGTACATTAGACTGCATCACTCCACATACAAAAAAAATCGGTAGTATTTTTCCATTGGAATTATAAAGTCTATTATATTTTAAGACGTCCACCACAACATTTCGGAAAAATATTAAGATTCAAGTGAGCTGGACCGATTTGAAAATACCTCCAAAAATGGAGTTTTTTATGAATAAAAATAGTTTCTTAAAGATTTTTTTTTTTAAATTCCCTCAAATGACAAAACGGTTTAAGCTTAAAAAATTTTCTTAAAAATCGTAATGATGAGATTTTGTATGCTGTTTTCTAACTTTTTTCAAAGATGGGTATAAGAAAAACTTGAATAACTGAACCTAAACTCTTCAGATTTAGACTTACGAGGTGTCATTGGAAAGGTATTTTCTCACCCTTTTTATTTCTTTGCTAATAAACTCATTCAAAGAATGAAAGAGAAAAGTAGGATGAACGAACGGCATTCAAAGTTGAATTAAGATATGTTGGTGTTTGAAAAAAAAAAAATTGGGACACGAATGCCTTTTTTTACACAAATAAAAACAGTGTGAAAATGCCTGTCTACTGAGATCCCATAAGTCTAAATCAGAATAGATTTGGCCCAGTTATTCAAGTTTTTCGTAAATCAATTTTTGAAAAAAGTTAAAAAAACCGCATCAAAAATCTCATTCTTACGATGCCGTTGAAAAGATTTTTAAATATTTTTATGCAGATTTTTTAAGCTTAATCGGTTTTGTCATCTGAGGGGACTTTTGTCAAAAAGTTCTTTAAGAAACTATTTTTATTCATAAAAAACTACATTTTTGGAGGTATTTTCAAATCGGTCCAACTCACTTAAATCTTAATATTTTTCCGAAATATTTTGGTGGACGTCTTAAAATATAATAAGTTTTGTAATCCTAGCGGAAAAACCGCAATATTTTTTGGTGATGCAGTCTTATGTACATACATACGCAGCCATATAACTTGATTTCAAGAGAAACGAATTTTCATTGATAACTTTTTTTTTTGATAACACTTTGCGACAGCTCAAATCGGTATTGAGTAAAACCAAATGCAAGTGATAGTTTTTGAATTTCATTGAGTTTTTTTTAAATAAATACTAAAATTAGAGGTGTATGTACATTTAAAAAAAGTAGTCGCAATGCGTTATATACATACATAAGTATGTACATATGTATCTGGACTCACAAATCGGATTTTACGATTATAGTTGTCTGCATAACCCAATGGCGAAAGAAAAACTTTGTCCGATTTTTTTTAAATCGAAACTACATTTTAACACACATGCATACATAAATATATTTAATATGAAATTGAAAGTTTCACATCAATTAGCGCAATCTTCAAACCCATGGTTTAAATTGTACGCATTTCGTCAGAGTTTTCCCCACAACTTGGTTTTGCTGCAGTGAAGTGAGAGATCAAGTGACGAGAAAAAAATATAGGCGGACACTTATATATGTATCTACGCACATATGTACATATCTATCCACATACATACATATGTGTTAAGTATGTATATCAGCATTTTAGTTGACAGTACGTTTTGCTTGTCGCTATCTTCATCGCTCCACTACATTCCTGTCCTTAGTTTTATTCAGATACCACAAATGTATGTTTTCGTCGAAAATACTCAAGTACTACCAGAAGAGTACACTACTTACAAATACCTTTTACGCGCAGTAGTTGCGGAAGGCAAAGTAAATACTCTACGCGTCTTACTATTGATCGGTAGTTTACCTACTGGCCGTCTCCACAGGATAAAATTTATTGCTGCCCAGCTGTCATTTTGGTCGCTAGATATAAGTTATATCAGTGGCAATATTTGTGTGGGCTTTTTATATCTTGATATAAGCATTTGTAAGATAGCGATTCAATCGCTTTAAAAATTTAGAAAATAGGCTTTTTTACATCCAACTACATAATTACAAATATTTTAACAGGAAACAGCTAAATTTTTGCTTTTATATTAAAATAATAATGATGTTGCAGCCACGAATTTTTCGTGCAAATGAAAGTGTAGCTGTCAAACTACCAAATTGCCGGCAATAGATGGCAAGATATAAGCTCTGATATATATTGCTCTTGAAGAGCAATGAGCGGTCTCCATTGGCTATTTATATTCTAACATATGTATCAAGATATAAACTTTATCCTGTGGAGACGGGCAGTTACGCTTGCAGAAACTGGTTTATGCTTACTCACACTTGACTGGAGCAATAAGAGTAAAGGAGGAAAAGTATTTGCGCGGCGATCGGATGTCTTGTTAGGCTGTTTAAATGGAATTGCGCAGATGTTTAGTACTTACTGATTTATCGCAGTTTTCGTGTTTCCGTTATATGGCAGGTGGACGTGGTTATTGCCCGATTTCAACAAATTTCTTAGCTACGTCCTACCCAAGGCCCGTACTGAGTTTGGTAAGGATTAGTGAAGCGGCTACTGAGATACAGCATTTCATTATAAGTGGGCGGGGTCACGCCCATTTTCCAAAATTTTTATAATATTATTTTTTAACACAGTTCTACTTCACATACTAATTTTCAATAAATTGCATCTAATATTTAATGAAATATCGTAGTATTTTCATTTTTAGATTTCGCCCATTTTCAACACCAACGTACCTCGGATAAAGGTCAACCTACATACCAAATTTTGTTGAGATATTTAAATTTTTGCTCGAGTTATCGTGTACACGGACAGACGGACGGACGGACAGACAGACATGGCTTAATCGATTTCTCTTTTCATTCTGAGCTTTTATGTATACATTTGTCCATATCTATCTCGACTCGTTTTGGCTGTACCAAACAACCGTTGTGCGGACAAAGTTAATATACCCTTGTGCACAAGTGCGCTCGGGTATAAAACTTTGATTGAAGGGCAGCTAAAGTTTAAAACCTACTTCAGAAAACTAAGTTAATTTGTTAGTTTTAGAATTAAATTCGACCATGTGTAAAATTTTACCTAAATCGAGGCCTTCGCGTTGAAAATCACTTTTTGTTACATTTAATATATAAGTGCGTTAGGGTGATTTAAAAAAAAACTATTTGGATTTCGACTGAGAACGGTCGGATTCTTGAAGTTAATAGGGAAAAAACAGTTCCTCCTAAAATTTAAGCTTATTTGAACAAGATTTAGGTCACTTTAACGCTGTTATTTATTTTCTGAAAACCGCGGATTTTAATAACATCTTTATAAACAAATATTTTCGTCAAAAACTTGTTGGATGACCTGCCACATCTTGCCATTACATTTGCTAGGAAAATACTAGTATTCAACAGGGCGTATAGTGATGTTTATCTGCTGATTTTTTATTTGGTATATAATAATATTTAATGATGAGGTCCCCTATTGAAATAAATTAGAATGTCATCTTAGCTGTATTAAGTATACGCTCACTGGTTAACAAGCAAAAAAAAGGAATTATTGCAAATATTCATTGTTTATAAAGCAAAACTTAATTATTAATTCCAATAAAATTTTATTTATATTAAGTATACGCTCAGTGGTTAACAAAAAAAAAAGAACTATTGCAAATATTAATTGTTTATAAGGGAAAACTTAATTATTAATTCCATACATTCCTACATACTAGAAAATTTCAACCAAAGGTAAGGTTTGAGGAAAATATACTTATTTGTTTATAAAGATGCACATAAAATCTGCATTTTCTTCTAAATCTTGTTCAAATAAGCTTAAGTTTTAGGAGGAACTTGTTTTCCCTACTATCTTCAAGAATCCGAAAGTTCTCAGTTGAAATTAGGAAGTTTTTTTCTAACCACTCTAATATGCGTACATATGTACATATGTATGAATGTTTAATTAAAATATGAATCAATAAAAATTCCGCAAAGGTGTTCGAGTTCGCTCACATAGCTTTCTTTCTCCCGACCCTGCTCAATCGCATGTCGGTTTAAAAGGAATGAGGCTTTTTTAAATATACATATGGGGACATTCACGTCAAATGTCCCAAGCGTACCAGCGGTGCAAAACAAGCTACTTTTCGACTAGCTGGGAAGCGGACAGAAAATGGGAAAAATAATTCAAAAACTATGACTTCTATAGATTTCTGTACGGGCTATCCGATGGTACTATGCGTTATTAATGATTTCTATGTAAAACTACCTGATCTTTCGATTCAGATGACTATAAACAAAATTAAAAAAGACTATAATTGGGAAAAATTACAAATAAGCTTTTGTCTCAATTTTCACCATGAAAACGGAAAAATTTTGGAAAACGCATGGCTCCGTCGTCTAACCCGTACAAAAATGTATGGATATCATAGTTTTAGATTTTGTCCCACCATTTTCTATCTGCTTCCCAGTTAGTCGAAAGTAGCTTGTTTTGCGCCGCGCTTGGGACATTTGACGTGAATTTACCCATATGTATCAATACCTACAAACATAAAGATATACATACATATGTAACCGTATACGCTACCTTGAATTTCTATACCAGAAACATTTACAAAATCCTGAATTTTGGAGGAAATAAGTTGAATAATGGCCAACCGTAAAATACTCCAGGAATATGAAGAAGGATTTAAATGTTCGGTATTGCACTTTGGTTGTTGGTAATTTATTTTTGCAGAATTGTTAAGTTCAGTAGGATCGTCTTCATCCTCCATTTCATTGTCACTTTCAACAGGATCATCAGTGTCATAGTCGTCTTCATCTAAAAATATACGGAACAGATTTTAGAAGCACTTTAAGTATAATAAATTTTGTGGAATATGCGCATCTGTTGCACATTATTAAAATTTTAGTTAACCTTACAAAAATAAATAACGTTGTATAAAATTCTTATTGTCATCTATCTCCAGATAATAAGACAAAAAGAGAAATTAAAAAATTTTTTTTTTTAGGTCCAATATATTTATATGAGCCACTATATCCCAATAGAACTTGTGAGCATCGTACGATTGCTGCAATTGGGAGTTTAAGAATACTACTCATTGCTTCTGTATATACCCTGCGACTATCGCGTGTAAAGAGTACTCCCTAAGGACCAAGGATTACTCCAAAATTAACCACAATTCATATAAAAAATATGGTCCAATTAACATTACGATGGCCTAGGGCAGGACCATATACTCCATCCCTGCAGTACATCAGAGTAGCACAAAACTACTCCAACATATTAACAATGGCATTGTTGTTATATTATTTCGTTTGTGCACGCTTTTGTTCTTCACTTCTCAGATGCTTTTTCGAAATTAATAAAAACCAAAAACAAAAATTAAAAATTACTTGTTACCTCTGACGGCATTCGAACCCGAACATGTTGGGAGCTAACAACTAACAGCGAGCATCTCTACACGTTCAGCTACAGGCAGACATGCAAATGTGCTTTCAAATGCTCAACCCAATCACATTTCGTTAAAACACGAGCAGTGATCAGGTAACAAACAATAAGCTGGCGCAGAGACACGAGTTGGTCCGCTACAGCATGACAGCGGAACACTTTTGTAAGTACTCCAATATACAACAAATAGACCAAACGATTTTTGCAGGGTAAACATGTAATTTCGTATACCCCCTTAACATTGTATGTCCTAAGAGAAAGCACATGGTGGATCGGCGAACAAAACAACGATTACAAATGTGTCTGTACGCTTTGCTCTTTATTATACGCACTCCCATTGAAACAATCACGTTTGCAATCGACGCTTGGCTGGATGCTTTCTAACACAAGAGTGCGCATAGAAAAATATCCCATATTCCTCTCAAACAAGCAACAAGGGAGTACTCTTATAAAAGTCATCCCACATTTTTTCAAAACGTGCAATAACAAAGTACTCATAAAGAAGTAGTCTCGTAAACCTCCTAATAGTCTAAGATCCGACAAGGGCAGCTGTGTAATGGATCAAATCTATTTTGAATGAAATCTAACGTGTTAATAAATACTTCGCGAGTGGGTTGGCTGAAAAAATCCTGTATAGGATATTTTTAATTCATTATTCAAAAATTAATCTTACTAGTCTTACTATCTTATCTTACTAATCTTACTAATCTTACTAATATTATAAATGTGAAAGTTTGTATGTTTGGATGTTTGGGAAATCATCACGAGGAAACGACTGAACGGATTTGCATGAAGTTTTGTACGCAGACAGCTTATGCGCCAGATTGGTTAATAGGCTATTCTTTTAAGAGTTGCCACCTGGTTAAAAGTTTAATTTATTTAATATGCGGGAACGACTGAATGGATTTGCATGAAAATTTGCAAACAGATAGGTTATGACCTAGATTGGAAAATAGGCTACTTTTCTTAAGAGTTGCCACCTGTTAAAAAAGTTTAATTCAATTAATACGCAGAAACGACTGAATTGATTTGCATGAAATTTTGCAAGCAGATAGCTTATGACCTACAGTGAGAAAAAGGCTAATTTTTTGGAAGAGTTGCCACCTGTTAAAAAAATTTAATTAAATTAATACGCGGAAACGACAAAACGGATTTGTATGAACTTTTGCACACAGATAGCTTATGCCCTACGTTAGAAAGTTGGCTACTGTTTTTAAGAGTTGCCACCTGTTAGAAATGTTTAATTTAATTAATACGTGGAAATTAATGAACTGATTT